TTTCTATAACCTAACTGGGCTCCAGATGGACACATTCTATTCTCTGTTTTCCTGCTTTGTTGCAGCTGTTACATCATGTCTTTATCAATATTATAGAATTAATGAGACACTCTGGAGATAATAAGGAGGAAAATGTTCAGATATATGTGAGTGACGGGTCCAAAGATCTTCCTATTTTGTTCAGGAATAAACCTGGAGCAGCAGATCTAGGGTTAGTCATCTGTTACTAGATGTGTGATTAGAGACACCTGTCTCTACCTCCACTCCAGCTGCAGCCCCACCCTGACCAACACCCCCATCATCCGTCTCCTCCTGCTCATATTAGCTAAGGATAAACACACACAGAACAGCATCACCTTTCAGAGGAACATGTCTATTGTAGAAGTTAGTAACTCATATCTCTGTGATGCTGTTAGCAGGAGAACCTTATTTTGGCAAATGATCGTCTCCAGATGAACGTTTCAATCCACTGGATGCGCTCGCTGCCATTTTCTATGCTATGCTGCTCTCACTGGGCAGGGAGGGGCTAAGCCCTGAGTGGCAGCTCTTCACATAGACGTACATGCAGGCATGGCTGGTCAGACTGGGAGACATGAGACTGGAGAACAGCACAGAGAGATGGAGATACCTTTAGTTCTTCACATTTCTAGTTTTTAGTTTTTCTATCTAAAACAATAAATTCTTCCTTATTGCTCCTTTAATATCTATGGTGCTCAGGAACTGACATGGAAATATATATAAGGTGCACAAACTTTTTCTCACGATATATTAATATATGCTGCTAACAAAATACTAAAACATAATCCTGTTACTTTGCAGCTTCTGTAACAGTTAGAGGAACAAACCAGCATGATAGAGACGATAGTCTGATGGAGTTTTATTTTAGGCGAAGGATAAATTATAAAGAGATTCTTATTTCTCATTAGTGAGGTATTTAAATCAAATATTGACATCCAGGAATAAAGAATGACCAGATGCATCGATGTGTGCAGGACTGAGCTGTAAAATAACACCTGCTGCTGTTCAACTGATGTTTGTCTCCAGGGGTGGAAAGTAATGAATTACATTTACTCACGTTACTGTAATAGAGTACTTTTTATGAGTAATTTGTAATTTTCTGAGTAGTTTCTGAAATATGTAATTATACTTTTACTCGAGTAAATTTTAACCTAAGTAGTTTTACTTCGCTACATTTAAAACCTCCTCACGTTACTGAGTAAAAAAAAAAAGAAAAAAATACTGGTAAAAAAATTAAATGCGGCAGGAAATTTAAACCCCTGTTTCACGGAACCGACCCTGCTTGCAATTACCCTTTATATTGTCTCATAATCCTGTGCTGAGCTTTGGAAGATGGCAGTTGCTAATCATGACGTAGAGTGTATGGATGAGGAAACACATTCTGGAGACGAAAGCCAGAAAAACCCTTGGCCATATCTGGACAGATTATTTGTTTTCAAATGCACCAAAGGGAACAATGTGATAATGCAGCGACATGCAGTAACATGTGCCTGGCCAGCAAAACTGAGCTTTCGGCTTTTAAAACATCAACATCCAATTTACGAAAACATGTGGCGGTATGTAACGGTTTATTTATTATTTGTATAAGCGAGCTCTTGGCTTGTTAGCAGTTGCTTAGAATTAGCTAGTTCGGAGTATCAAAAGTATGACTGAGTTGGGAATGCAAGCATTACAGGTATAGATGTTTTCTTAATGTGGCGATAAATAAAATAGAATGTTATCATGGTTTCATCATGGACCTGAAGTTCCTCCTGCTCGCTCTCATCCGGTTCCTTCCCCCATCTCTCTTCAGGTTCAGCATTAACCTGTTGAACTCCTTCCCAAACATTAAGAAGCTGTCTCTGAAACTCAACACAGGCCTTCCAGCCTCAGCTGCCTGTGAGAGGCTTTTTAGTTCAGCCGGTTCCTCTTCACAGCAAAGAGAGCAAAACTTACAGCAAAAAACTCTGAAAATCAGCTACTGCTGAAATTGAACAAGAGCTTTACCGGTCTAAAGTTGTAGATTTGGGGCAGTTTTGTGGGTTCCTGTGGACACTGTATTTTGAAGTTAAATCCTGTTTCTTTTAAATTGTTGGATCCTGTGAGAATTTTGTTTTATTGTCAACAGTGGGATCCTGTTGCATTTTAGTTTGATTTCTGGTATCTTTTGGGCAATTAATTTTGTGTGCATTTTGAATACTTTACAATGTAGTTTAAATGTCTTTATTGTTGGACAATAGGATTGAAAATAGTTTGTACTTTATGTTACAGGTTGTGACTGTCCTTGTCCTGTGAGGAAGTATGTTCTTTAGCCCAGCTGATCTTTTGCAGTGTGGATGTCCACTGAAATACGCCTTGAATTCGATTAAAACACCTTGTGCTCAATTCCATTCATGACTCATCCTTTTTTGCATTAAATAACTCAAAGTAACTAAGTAACTTTCACTCAAATTACATTTTAAATGAAGTAATTTTGTACTTTTACTTGAGTAAATTTTGAGAGGGGTAATTTTACTTTAACTCTGAGTAGAATTTAGGTAAAGTAAAGATACTTTTACTCAATTACAATTTTTTAGTTCTCTTTCCATCTCTGTTTGTCTCCAACATTTCAGGTTTGTGCTCAAATTCCAACTGAAGGAGGGAAAGATGTAAATATGTTGATGTGATCAGAGCAGAGTGATCCAATTAAGCAGCAAATAAATGCTTTCATTACTCGTCTCATAGTATTATGTGCATCCTAAAAGCAGCAGCAGTTTATAACAGTGTGGCAGATATGGTCACTATCTAGAGAAGATGCAGGCAGAGGAGAAAATAAAAAAGCCTTTTTACCCCAAAGCTGTTCTGGAGATAGTGGGACAACTTCACATGTTTAGGTCCATCATGTTTTCCCTTTAAGTCACTAATGTCTCCTTCTTGTTTGTGGACGCTGGTTGTTGCTCTCTGCTCTGGACTTTCACCTGTTTCTCTTCTAACTGCTTCATCTTCATGGTCGTGAATCTCCTGACCTTCACCTTTCTCTAGCTTGTTAGCCCCCAACACCCCCCCCCCCCCAAACCGTGATCCTTATTCTCTACAGCAGCATAAAAAAACCTCTAATGTATATTTCTGCAGGCATTACATTAATAGTAACTTAACTGTCTAGCTTAAACAGTTAATTCCTCAGCAGACCCTCCCCTTCTCTCATCTCTTCTTCCTGCTTCCCTGTCTCTGCTTTCCAGAGGAATTTCCAGATATCCATCTACAGAAGTCATGTGATAATGTTCAGTTATTATCAGGTCATTTGTTTTCATTGGATAAATAATCAAACTGACTGGTGTGAAACGTTAGCAGAACTCAAACTGAGCTGCGGCCGCACAGTGTCCCATCTGACTGAAGGGAGAGCTGCGTGTGAACTAACCATTGACCAACAACCATAGGATAGAATGAAATCCTTCAAACCATCATCAATGTTCTGAGGTTCTGTTCTGACCCAGCTTCTGGTCCTCTGTTTGTGTTGGACCTTCATGAACATCTTCATCTTCAGTAGGAGAGCCCCACCCTGTTGGTAGTTAACCTTTCAGTGATGAAGAAATGTCTTTACAGATGGAGGAAGAGGAGCGAACCTCAGCATAGAAAAAGACCCAGACCCAGAGCTGGACCGCTGACAGCCAATCAGAGCAGCTGTGCAGCAGGTAAGACTGAACATCTCCAATCAGAGCTTCCTTCTATCGTCTCTGTTCAACCAATTCTGTCTTTAGTTGGATTTGGAGATTCAAGCTTTTCAAAGTCTTTCTGGGATCAATTATCCAACTAAATCTCTGTATTTCCATCTAAGGCCCCGTCCACACGAAGTCAAAACGAACACGAAACGCTGATATTTTCCAGAACGTTTGTCGTAAAGACGGAGACGTAAAATAAATGTGAGCGTCCACACGAATGCATGAAAATGCTGCAAAATGTATGCCAGGCCTGTAAGTGGCGCTGTGGTGCCAAAGCAAAAATAGGCGACGAAATGTTGGGCATGCGCACTAATATTTATACATGGTTGCCCTGCGGGTCCATTTTGGTGGTTCAGTCAAATTCAGGTGCTGAACTATGTCGTCGATATTGCTCTGTTCTTCCTGGAGATATTCCAGAAGAAGATTCTGTTATAAGCCCGACAGCAGGGTGAGTAGCATTAGCAGCTGTTGTTGTTGTGATACTATGTCGCGCATGCGTGTTTAGAGGCGACGCTATGACGCATGCGTGTAAAAAAAAAAAATGCGGTTAGAGCGTAAAGATGGAAACGCGAAAACGGCGTTTCAGAATCTTCTCACTCTGAAGGCTGAATAAAAAAAAGATAGTTTACAGACCCCCGAAACGCCGGCTTCGTGTGGATGAGAGGCTGGTTTGGTGAAAAATTTTTGCGTTTAGGCCAGGGTTTGACTTCGTGTGGACGGCCACTAAATCTACCAAAGTCTGTGTTCAACCCAACAACCTATTGGGTTTGCTTTGAACTGCTTCTGTTTTCAGCCCTTTGGGCTAAATGCATTAAAACTAAACATCTCCTTAAAGCTGAAGGTCATTTTGATGCATGAAAACCAAAAGGTGGAGAAAGCAACTTGCTGCTCTGCTTTTCTAAGAAGAGGGAAGGAAAGTCTGAGAGACAGAAACCTGGATTTCCTCTGACAATAGATCACTGATTACAGGATAGATATTTATATTTAAAACATGGAATCATTGGAAAGATCTTCTAGAGGACCAAATTTCTAGTCTCTAATTATTCTTCATAAACATCTAATCCTGTCTCTGAGTGAGAAATGCTATTTAACCCTTTAAGCCCAGAAGGTTTTAGGAGCAATTTCTGCCTGAAATTACATATCTGATTAAATCACGTTTAGTGCCATAATTATAGAGTGGAAATGTGAAAAAAATTATTATTTTATGACACAAAGTCATTACAGAATATTTTTCAAGTAATTTTTATCACAACAAACATTTTTAGTCAGAACGCAGACTTTTAAGTGTTTTCAAAACTGAGGGAAGAAACTGGTCAAAATCAGGAAAACGGACAGACTACAGATTGCTAGGAAACGTCTCACCAAAACACTCGAATAACCTGGCACTGATGGGAGGCAAACACACAACCTAAATAGTAGAGAAACCAGGTGGAAATGATCGGCGATAATCAGCCGCAGAACCAATTAGACTGGGGAGCAAGGAGCAAAGGAAAAAACCAAACCATCAGCGCCAAGATCATGACAATTACATGATTTAGAGACTTCCCTTGACTTCATGATGACTATGCAATGTGATGTGTTTATTTTTATAAGGCTCTTTATGAGTTAAAATAATCTACTTAAGCTATGAAACAGCCAGTGTGTGACATATTGATGAATTTAAGTCTTAAGTCCCCCTGAAAATGAGAGCATCATCATTGTTTGATGCTGTAGAGCACATATTAACATTTCGACCAGTAGGGCTGTCACGATAACCGCACGAATGAAATATCACGATATCAAGAACCTCACCGCGCTACAAAACCACCCACCGCCATCATTGCATCTTGGGATAACAGTTGAGAAGGATACAATGGCAGCTGCACTGATATCAAAACCAAATGTTACTTCACCCCTTGGGGAGCATTTTGGTTTTCAGCCAAATGAAAACGGGGAGCCTGTCAATTTAAAAGAGGCAATTTGTAAGAACGAATTTAAGGGCTCCTTTAGCTAGCTACCACCCAGCTGTTACGGCGCGGCTACCGCCGCCTCCTGCCACACAGAGTCGTGGGGCGGCTCATGTCGGTGCCAGCCGACAGCTTGGAGTCGGCAAAGCCTTTGCTCGAGTCGCTAAGTAAAGTAGAGACAATGACAGACATAAATGTCTCACAGCCGCTGTTACACGGTAACGGGTTGAAGAGATGGAGCTATTTTCCACTGAGGAGAAACATGCATTCCGGTCGCTCCTCTAATGAGCGCACTGTCCGAGAGGGTTTTCAGTGTCGCTGGAAATGTTGTCCCCCCTCTCAGATCCTCTCAAACCATAAGGTTAACATGCTGGTTTTACTGACCCGCAACAAGGACATGGCTGAGCTTTAAATCACCGTCATTTGTTTGTGTGTGAACCAAGAATTATGGCGCCTGTTACATTTAATTTTGTATAGGCGTACTTAAATAAGAAATACCAAAACTGGCACTTGTTTTTTTTTTTTTTATTAAAGATGCTGAAGTCAAACTTGCCTTTAAAAATTCAGCCTTCTTCTGAATTTTGTTAAGTTCAGTCAGAGAAATGAGGCATATCTGGGCCATCACTGCCCTTTGATCTGCATTCAATAGAGTTTATAAAATTGCCATGTCTTTTTTTATTAGGGTTGTCACGATACTAAACTTTTCAACTCGATACCGATACTAAGGAAAATATTCGATACTCGATACCACAAGGATAAAAACAAAGACTCCAAAATTCTACAGAAATATTTTCATTAATAAATAAAATACAATAAATAAATACAATAAAGGTTGTATGCAGTGCACAATATTAAGCAAGCTTGATAAAAAAACGTATAAAATTAAAATGAAGTGTTCCTTCCTTGGCTATGCTTTGCACACATAACAATGACACTAGCCAAATCGGTTAAGAAACAAAAATAATTCTCAGCAGCTGCAACTGTTACAGAAAAAACACTGTATCGATACTTTTGACAACCCTAGTTTTTATAACCTTTTTTTTAATGTTTAAGCGCCATGTTTCAAAGGAAATGTTGCCATGTAGTTGGTAATTTAACAATATACAAACACATTTGCAAAATAGATTAGAATAAAGAAAAAAGATGGTGCAATAATATCACATATTGCAATATTTAGCCTCCTTGAATAATCGCAGGGGGAATTCCTCAACCGCGACAGCCCTAGCGACTGGTCTAAGTAGGGAGTACCAATATGGCGGCCAGTGGCTTCACTTCAACCCTGTACTACCAACGGTCAATCAGCCATCAGTGAATAAATAGAGATCAGTGTGCAGACATACAGCAGCACATGCTACAGCACAGAGTCAGTGGAACCAACAGTGATTATATGCAGAGTGGGTTCTTCTAGTTGTTTCTAACCCCTCTGTATTATTTTAGATTGTTTGAGGGAGCTTTTCTTTAAGTTTGAACCATGCTAACAATGCTAATGCTAATCGCTAAGCTAAGCGCTAGCATGAGGCTAGCTAGGATGCTAAACTCCTCCTCCCTAGGAGGAGTGAGCTGAGCTGTAGCACAGAGTCAGTCTGGACCACAGAAACCAGTTCAAACTGGGAGCTGCAGATGAGCTTTTAGTGTTTCTCTACCATCACAGCTGAGATGAACTAAAATGATCTATGAAACATTTATTCTGAGTTCCTCAGATAAACTACAGCATGAATGAAAGCTGAGGGTCCTGCTGAGCTCATAGCACAGAGCGGATCAGACAGAGAGATGAGAAAGTTCTGTCTTCCAGCAGATCAGCTCTGAGGGGGTGTTGGCCCCTCTGGCCCCTGCGTTTAGCCGGCCTTGATTCTAACAGGTATGGAAGGACATGCAGCTAATGGAGCCAGAACAGGAACCACATGGAGCATCTACTCTACCACTGAACCACCCAGAACCCCAATAGAACCTGAACTGGATCAGAGGCAGGGTGACGCTAAGGTTTGTTTGATGCTGGGAGGAAAGAGACGCCACAGAGCTGCAGATGAACAGCTGCTGGGAGAGTTCTGGTTTCTGAGCAACATGATGAAGCTCTGAATGGACCCAACCTGCAGCTCCACAGGTAGGACTGTGTGGACAAAGACACCAAGGAGCCCGCTGCAGTGAGGGCTGCTTCTACAGCCAGGTTAGCTGAACTCTCTGATAACGAGAAGAAAGACCAATCTGATCAATTCCTCTATTTTGCATCACTGCCCCTCAGAATTTCCTCCAAATTCTCCTGGATGGATCATTTTCCATTCTGTGCCAGCAATTCCCTCTAGCGACCCCCCTTTCATAGATATAGACAGGTATGGGGCATTACAGGCTAACAAGGAACCCAAACTACCCCCATTCCTAAGGGGTGGACCCATTCATCAGGTTCAATTTGTATGTTTTCTAAACCAAAGCAAAGCTTTGTTTTTGGTTCACTCTATAAAACCTGGAACTCAACGTTATTTCTGACATTTTGAATTGAAAAAGTTTCCTGGATGGGAAGCAAAGCGTCTTCAAACTTGGAAACAAAGTCCAGTGGATTGTTTTTTAACTTTTCTGGAATGACTCTGACCTGGATGACTGAGAATCGTAACCTGCAGACGTTTGAAGGATTTAGAGAAAAGAATAGAAGTTTTAGTTTTTACCTTATGTTTAAGTTGTTAAAGGATAGACAAAGCTCCGCCCTCAGAGGCTTATAGTGGTGGCGGTATTCTGAGGCTTAAAGGGTTAAATGTGAAAACTAGCTGCTCCAATGAGATGTTTCTCTGGCAGGTTAAACCAATTCCTCTATTTTCCTTCATTAAGGCTGTAAAATGCTGAGGAACCTTTTTGTTTCTCTGCCTCTTCTGGAGCTGCTGTGTTCGTTGGAGAAGGTCCAATAGAACCGGTCCAATGAGGACAATGGTGACATGATGCTAAAGAGTTGATGTTGCTGAAAGCTGCTGCATGTTTCTGTCAGCATTTCTTCATTTTCTCTGCTTTGGAAATCAGATCCTGACAGTGAACAAATACAGGCCAGAAAACAGAGGGAGAAATATGCTGTCTGACAATTTAAGAAGGTTCTGGTTCTGAGGACAGATCAGATTGTTTAGAACCACATAGTGTGAAGGAAGAGACCTTCTAATGATAACACCTCCTGATGTTCCACATGGTTTGATTCCATCTTCATCACTGTATCAGTTTTTTTCCTTCAGTCGTCTTTTCTTGTGTTTCAGCAGATGTTGGTCAGCAGGAGCTTCTAGAGGAACATAAGATCAGCCTGAGGAGGAGATGTGAATGTGTGACTGAAGGAAGTGATGAAACAGGAAGTAGAACCCTCCTCAACAGGATCTACACTGATCTCTACATCACCGAGGGACAGAGTGAAGAGGTTAATACCCAACATGAGGTGAAGCAGCTGGAGAGAGCTTTCAAGATCCAGAACCTCCATGATTCTCCAATCAGGTGCCAGGACATCTTCAAAGCCTTCCCTGACCAACATGGAGCCATCAGAGTGGTTCTGACCAATGGCGTCGCTGGTGTTGGAAAAACCTTCTCGGTGCAGAAGTTCACTCTGGACTGGGCAGAGGGCTTGGAGAACCAAGATGTCAGTGTGGTGGTTCTGCTTTCCTTCAGGGAGCTGAACCTGATCAGAGATCAGCAGCACAGTCTTCTCACGCTGCTCCATGTTTTCCATCCAACCCTCCAGAAGCTCCCAGCAGAGAAGCTGGCTGTCTGGAAGCTTCTCTTCATCTTTGACGGCCTGGATGAAAGCAGACTTTCTCTGGACTTCAACAACAGTCTGCTTGTTTCTGACGTCACACAGAAGTCATCAGTCAACGTTCTGCTGATGAACCTCATCAAGGGGAACCTGCTTCCCTCGGCTCTGGTCTGGATAACTTCCAGACCTGCAGCAGCCAATCAGATCCCTCCTTCCTGTGTTTCCAGGGTAACAGAAGTACGAGGCTTCACTGACGCCCAGAAGGAGGAGTACTTCAGGAGGAGGTTCAGTGATGAAGAGATGTCCAGCAGGATCATCTCCCACATCAGGACCTCCAAGAGCCTCCACATCATGTGTGGGATCCCAGTGTTCTGCTGGATCACTGCTACGGTTCTGGAGAACCTGTTGACCACAGAGCAGAGAGGAGAGCTGCCCAAGACCATGACTGACATGTACTCACACTTCCTGCTGGTCCAGACCAAGAGGAAGAGGAACAAGTACCATGAAGGACATAAGAGGAGACCACAGGAGCTGATGGAGGCTGACAGGGAAGTTCTCCTGAAGCTGGGGAGGCTGGCGTTAGAACACCTGGAGAAAGGAAACATCATGTTCTACCAAGAAGACCTGGAGCAGTGTGGTCTGGATGTCACAGAGGCCTCGGTGTACTCAGGAGTTTGTACAGAGATCTTCAAAAGAGAGAGCGTGATCTTCCAGAAACCAGTCTACTGCTTTGTTCATCTGAGCATCCAGGAGTTTCTGGCTGCAGTCTACATGCTGCACTGTTTCTCCATCAGCAACACAGAGGTGGTGGAGAACTTCCTGGGAGGAAAATACAGTGAAACATCTCTGGAGGACTTCATGAAGAGAATCATGGAGAAATCCCTCAGGAGTCCAAATGGCCACCTGGACCTGTTTGCTCGCTTCCTTCATGGCCTCATTGTGGAGTCCAACCACAAACTCTTAGACTTTCTCCTGGGTCAGATGGAGACCAGTGAAGAAACCATCCAGAGAGTCATCAACAATCTGAAGGAGAAAAGAATACAGGGAAATCATGATAGAAGCATCAACATCTTTCAGTGTCTTGTGGAGATGAAGGACCTCTCACTTTATCAGGAGATTAAACAGTTCCTGAAAACAGAGAAAAAATCAAAGAAGTATCTCTCAGAGATCCATTGCTCAGCTCTGGCCTACATGCTGCAGATCTCAGAGGTTCTAGATCAGTTGGACCTGCAGAAGTACAACACATCAGAGGGAGGACGACGTATCCTGGTTCCAGCTGTGAGGAACTGCAGAAAGGCTCTGTGAGTCCAGATGTTTTCATGGGGTGATGCTGATTCAGCTGTATTGTCCTCCTGGTTATTATTTTTGGTTCTAGTTGCTTTTTGATGTATTTGAACCTTTAACTTCAAACATTGATTTCCTCCAACTTCTGCAGAATATTCATGACTGCTAGGCCAAATCCTTCTCTAATTATTTCGTCCTTGTCTCATCTCTACATTTTTTTCTTGTCATCATTCATCCTCCCAATTTAGTTCTTCCACCTCTGCAGGTGAAGCTTGTTAGAAACCATCACATGTTTGACATCAGTAACCTTGGCTGAGATAAAGGAGGCAACAAGGCTTTACTCTCTGTTGATCTCACGGCTCTGTAGCTTCTCATCTCCAAAAGCTATAAGGGCTGCAGAGAGAGGTTATGAATTGATTACTAGTAACATAGGAGCTGTATAGTATTAGTGATGATCGGTCAATCAATTATTTATGTATATCATTTTTTAAAAGAACTGATCTACAGACCTGGAAACACCTGCCAGGCTACGGTCCTTTCAGGGAGGATTTAATGCGTCCACCCCTACTCTCTGAAACCTGTAACTGAAATTATTCTCAATGGTATGTGCCCTGCAAGGACGCAAAAGGGCTACAACGAGCAAAGGAAACGTGCATCAAAAACTTCAATAGAAACCTTTTAATCAAGAAGGAAACGAGAGAGCTAAATGGAGGAGAAGCTAGTATTGTGTGTGTGTATTCATTTTTTGGTGCAACTCACACTCAGCTGATAAGACCTGAAAACAATGTTTTTCACAAGTCTGAACTCCCCAGGCTGCTCCCTGGACATGAGGGTTTCATACGCCCTCAAAGCCTTTTCTCCAAAGCCTTTTTCTGGTTTTGTAGCTGCAATTTCTGTCAGTTTTCTGCTTCTTATAAGATCTGTAAGTGTTTATCGTCAGTGCAAAGTGTTTTTATAAGCGATGTAAAGAAAATGTAAATAATTCTGCTATTTCTTCTGGTGTTGTGACTAGGGATGGGGATCGTTAATATTTATTGATATAGATACCTTTATCGATACTCCTTATCGATCCGAGTCTTTATCGATACCACTATCAATACTTTTCTGTTATTTGGTGGAAAGACGATGCGACAATATGTTTTTAACAGAACTGGTATTGCTTTTATTGCTTAACAAGTGAGCATAACAAAAACGTTTCTAGCCTTCAATAAACATGGCTAATGTAATAGGCCACTTTGAAATGACATAAAACTAACTAGAATATATTTTCACAATTGTTGGTTAATGTATTGTCTACTGTTACTTTTCATCATGTTTTTAGTGATTAGGAAAATATTTAACAAATGAATAATTGTATTTTAAATTCAATGTAATTTTTAATAAATGATGGCATCAGTAGTTTAATTATATATTCTAAAATAATTAGAGCAATATACAACTGTATTACTCATGTTTCTCGCCAAAAACTCAATTTCCCGTTTTCTTTACGTTACACTTGAATGCATCATGATAACCTAATTGTCGTTTTACTGAGCCAATCTGAACACATCATCATGCAGCACGTCTGAAACTTTATTTACTTTTCAAGCTAACTAGCTTGTATGCTGCCGATTACAACACGGATTTCACAATTACTATTTTTAACTGACCGGACAAGCTACAAAGTCTGTGTGCGCGCTTACCAGTGGTACTCTGAGTGGATGATGAAGACGGGCCTGACTGTGGTGCGGCGGCAGCAGGAGGAGGAGGAGGAGTCTTTTCCGTTCAGCCATCCTCGAGTCGCGAGCGAAGTTAACTGCCAGACTTCACTTGTTTTACTTTTAATATCTGTTTGCTTACAATTTCATTCCAAAACATTGGTGGACACGCTGCAGTGATTGGATTGATTAGATTCAAATGCTTTGACGCGACTCGAGGGACACACAATTATGTTACAGGACCTCCGGGAGAAAAAAAAACAAAAAACGACCAGACTCGACAGTGGTATCGATAAGCCCAAACGTTATTGATTTTCGGGTTTTGAAAAAATTGGAACCGGGTCCTTGATGGAACCGGGTTTCGATCCCCATCCCTAGTTGTGACAGATTTATATCTATTATTTCTAATGTTTTGTAATTAAAAGTTCTATACTTCAAGCTTTCCCCAAGTCGATCATTAGAAGAGATGACATAGAAAAATACCTTAAATAACCCTTTCTAATGATTAAGTATTAAATTACTATACAACATGATGGCAGATTTAACAGTAATTTAGTCTTAGACCAGGTTGCACGGATGCAATGGCAGCGCTTACCACCAGGCTCACTTTGTCATGAAGTCAGCCCAGAATAACAGTTAGAGAAGCATTTTATACATCCCCAGGATCACACCCTGCTGTTATGAGTTAAACCAGAGGACCCAAAAACAGCCATACAACAGATAGCGTTAAACGGTTTATTTGAGGCAGGCTATGGTAGTTCGGTGAAGAAGGGAGGAACCTCTTCTCACAATCTTGGAATCAACTTGTAAAGTAGGCCAAAACTCCTGTTGAGAGGTTATGTCTCTAGTAATGAGGAATTAATGCATCATTTCATTTTTCATCATATTGGTGATGTATTTCCACCCAAGGGTGCAAGACTATTTAACCATTGACTGTTGTTAAAAGTTGTACATGTGCAGCAGTTCCTCTGCATTACACAGCTAAGCAGCGACCTGAGGTGATAGGAAGAGAGAGAGAGAGAGAGAGAGAGAGAGAGAGAGGGAGAGAGAGAGAGAGAGGGAGGGAGGGAGAGGGGGAGAGAGAGAGAGGGAGGGAGGGAGAGGGGGAGAGAGAAATGGTGTAAGAACGTCCTTTTCCAGGACCTGGTTTAGCAAGAAGGCTTGGCTGGCAGCATTATTAGCAGCTTTATTCTGCTATCCTGCCTCCTTTTTCAAATGTCAGGATCTGACCCAGCATGGATAAAGACAGCAAGGACTGATTTAAAGCCCTTTGTAGAAAAGGCAAAGGTGAATGAACAATCTGGGATTCACATGGAAAATAATAGAATATAGTCTACTTTTCTAGGTATTTGTTAATCTGCATAGTTGCTCTTAAATAAACACAATCTCAGAAGATAGTTTTTATTTAAAAAAGATAAAGCTGACTAAAAGCTTCATTATTAACAGACTATTTGGTATGGTACATTATTTTTTTAGGTTTGTAACACCGTATTGGACCACGCAAAAAACAGACACAGACAGCCAAGAAACATAGTCCCTTCAGGATGTCCTGTGTTGCCCCCTCGGTTTCCTTCCAGTAAGACATGCTTGGAAAAAGTCAGACATCCTGGAAACATCTGAAAAAGATGTCTCAGCCGCCCAGCTGACTCATTTTCGCAATTTTTCCGGTCGAAAACCAGAACCATGATCACCCCAATGCATGTTGTAGGTCTTGGACATTAAATTATGTTTTGTTTTTATAAGGTGTTTTTATGTTTTTTGTTCTTGGCATTCGTATAAATATACTGGTGCGATAACTTGGTATATGTTTGATTATTTTTTGGGATATGTACATTTTGAATTTATAACCCCACTGGATCCAGGTAATCCAAAACAATCAGGTCTGATAGAGTTTAGACAGGCTCAGAGAATCCGGAGTAGAAACAGCTCATAAACAGGCAGGCAGACAAACAAAGCTCACAACAGAGTCCTGCACGGGTCGAGTTTTACCAACCCGCACCCGCCCAAACCAGTTAGGATGACTACCGAACCCGACCCGTCACCCGCGGATATCTTCAATTCAAATCCGAACCTGACCCGTTGATATTTAACCCACAACCCGACCTGTTAACACATCAAGTAATAGGCTATAGTACGCTGCGCTGCAGAACAGCGCCATTAACACTGCAGCAGACGTGTATGCACTGACTGTGGCCTTTTTGAAGGGAAGCCCACACTCCCGGCAGGGCTTTAAGGTACAACAAGGGTGACCCCAGTGCCTGATTAATATAACATTTCTGATCTCCATAACAACACACACGCATAAAAAAAAAAAACACCAACTACCCGCCCGCACTAAAAAAATATCCGCCCGACCCCGCGTACCCGTTTATTTTTATGTATTTTTCACCCGCAAAAGAGCATTTTAGCGGGTGACCCGTCGAGGACCCACGGGGACCCGACCCGTTGCAGGACTCTAGCTCACAAGACTAACTCAACAAATAGTGAATGAGAAATCTGGCACGAAATTCTGATGTGAGGATAGATTATTTAGTCACTGGTGCAGGTGTATATGATGAGAGTGAATCATACACAGGGAGGAGCTTGAAAGGTGTGTTCAATGAGGGATCCGACCAGCATCAGTGTTGAGATCAGACACCAGCAAGATCATCATTGTCCATGTTCCTAAATGATTTTCCTAAAGTAAGTGGGACAAACAGTGCATTGCCCATGTGGTGCTGCTTTAGTTGGCTCACCTACTATGAATTTTTACTTCAGTTCTCATTTCAATTAATGTTTATAAAAAAATAGTTTATTTAGTATTAGGGTTGTCACAATACTAAACTTTTCAACTCGATACCGATACTAAGTAAAATATTTGATACTCAATGTCAACAAAATACAATAAATAGATAAATAAATACAATAAACTATATTTTGAGGTTGTATGCTGTGCACAATATTAAGCAGGCTTGATAAAAAACTTACAAAATTAAATTAAGTGTTCCTTCCTTGGCTATGCTTTACACACATAACAATGACACTAGCCAAACCAGTTGAATAGTAATAACTGCACCAGTTACAGAAAAAAGTCTAAAACCGAAAAGTGCACAGAATTATTCAATCACACAGTGTTCATAAAGTGCATTTTCCCCTTTTCCGCACTTAAGATGAATGACTGCTTAGGTGCCACTGATTGTAGCACTGTTTCGATACCTTTGAAATTGTATCTGGATACAATTTTTTATTATCAATTCTTTTTTGAGTATCGATACTTTTGACAACCCTATTTAGTATTTTTGCCTTTTGAGGTTATTAATTGGACAGTTTCTTTGGGGGATTTTGGAATTTTACAGATTTAATTCTCTCAGCACTATAAAAGTATTCAGAGAGCCATTAATAAGTCTGAGTAAAAAAAAAAGTTTCTGATAAAATATGCCCACCTGAAAACACTGAATGCCTCCCCTGAATTATCAACAATAGACTCATTTAAAAGCAGTTTTTAATGTTTCTTTTTGACCTACAAGAAACAAAACAAATAAAAAATGCTGTTATTAATGGTAAAAACAAACTCAGCAGTAATTTATCTACTTACACTTGAGACAGAAAGAACCAGTCCAAACCAGAGATGAGCTGTTTTTGTTCTCTTTAAACACTCAGACAAGAACCAGAGAGGCTTTATTTTAAGTGTGTTTTCAGGCCGAATTATCTGTTAATTATTTGTTTTTATCACAACAAATAAAGACTTAAACATTAGAAAATGAGAAGGGAAATTACTCCTGTGAAGCTGGAGTTTCCATAAAAAAAATCCCTAGTTTCAGTCTGTTCTTTTGCGCATTCAGATGAATGAATAACGATTAAAAAAACTGTAATGTCTCATAAAATAGTCAGAACAACTGGAAAAGAAAACAAATAGTCCCACTGGATGAAAGTTACACATTTTTGACAAGAAAACATGCATGTTTATCCTATTTGGTTTTAGCAGTGTTTGCAGGTGGTTAACAATATTACCAGCCATGCAGAAAATGTACTCTGAGAGTCTGCTTGTCTTTGATACATGAAGCCTGAGCTGTTTGAACCTGTTGCTCAGCTTCTCTGTCTGCATCACTGTGGTTCAATTGAGCTTCTAACTAAAGCAGAGACACAAAGGGCCGGATTTATCAAGATCCAATTTTGCGTGCAGTAATTTGCGCTCGAAAACTGGAATTTTGCGTGAGGGGCTGAACCATGGTTTGCGGGTGATTTAACAAGAGTGATTGCGTAACTGGTGGCAGGTGCAAAACTGTTGGACACGCCCTATTTAAATGATGGTTTTGTGCGTTTTGTGGTTTGCAGCAAAGTAGTTTAAGTACAAACTAGTGCATTAAGAAATTTAAATCTTACAGTGACACCCCCACCCCCTCCAAAAAAAAAAAATAATATATAAAAACTTTGGCAACCTTTATTCCCTAAGGTGGTATGTGGCTGAATTTCTACTTCACTGTAGTAAAAAAAAAAAAAAACAGGTGTTTTGTATTGGCCTGTAGAAAAATGCACATACCAAATGGCTCACAAGAAGTGACTGTGGATGAGATTACTGCGCGTACGCATCCCCGCAGCATTGGCATGTTGCTCCACAGGCGCAGGGGGGAGGTCAGGGTTCTCCGGTAGGGCGTCAGGGCGACATGGCATTTTAGACGTCGGACAGCACTTTTGAAAAACGAGATTGGGAGATCCCAGCTCTCGCTGCAACCGTACGCTGGAATGACCCAGATGCAAAAAAGTACAATGTTGCAAGGAGTTTAGTGATATCTGGTATTGCGTGGGTCCTCCTTGTGGCTGGCTCCAAATCCATTTGGAGTACCCCCAACAGCTCCAAAATGGCAATGCTGGATAAACGATATGTTTTGATGATAGTTTCCTCGTTCATTCCAAAAATATTCACACGGAGTGGAAAAAATGCGTTCTCTGCGTCTCCTTGCTTCATTTCGATGTCCCCTTCTTGCGACAATAACAGCTGCCATGTGTGCGCAATTATGCATACAGACCATTTGCACCTTCTTTTGAAACGTGTTAAATATAGAGTCAGATACCGTTAGCAAAATTGCTTTCAGGTTTGATAAATCACTTTGCGAGTGCTAAAGTAATATATTTACATGTTCTCCTCCCACAAGACGCACTTTTGCGTGTAAACGCCCCATATTGCATATTCATTGCAGAAAAAGTACTAAATGGATAAGAGGCGCTATTTAGCACGTTTTAAAGACCAGATCCTTTTAGCACGCTGTTGATAGATCAGTTTGTACATTTTTTAGCGTGCGCAGTGAAATAGCTCACGTTTTTATACACGCAAACCTTTGATAGATCCGGCCCAAAGGGTGAAGAGATTCTCTGTGGTGTCAAACACAGGACAATGTTTTCGAGAGCAGATGTTCATCAGATGATGACATCACTGTTTGCTCTTCATGTTTTAGTCTGTGTTTATCATCCAGATTGTCTGATTTCATTAGAACTGACTTTATTTCTCCTCTAATCACAGACTTGGTGGCTTTTCTCTCAAAGAGGCTGAGTGTGAAATTGTGGCCTCAGCTCTGAAGTCCAACCTTCATCTGACTGAAGTGATAATAGATCAGATCAGAGGAGGGAAAACCTTTGGAGACTCTGGAATGAAGCATCTGTGTGAGATACTGGAGAGTTCATTCTGCAAAGTGAAGAAACTGGCGTAAGTTTTCTTTGTTTTTTCAAACATCCTCATTCACTAATACTTTAAATCTGATTTTAAGTCATTTTATTCTAATATATTATCTTAAAAAACAGCTACTGTCTAAATGTCAGAACATAATATCTTAGACTAATTACCTTGTTGTTAAAATAGTTTCCTGTTCCAAACGTTTTAAATATGAAACTTTATTTTACACTTATACTTTGACAAATTTTACAAACTAAATTTTGATACATACAGCTTTTCAACATTTGAACAGCTTATGAATTGCAGGAAAAAACACTTGATGTTCGTAGCTGCTGCAGGCGTTGGCAGTCGTAGTCTTTTTTTTTCAAATGTTAAAATGTTTTGGACTAATGAAAGATTTTAGGTAAAAAAGTGAAATTATGTTAAAAAGTTATGGAGATGTACTCCTTGTCATGTTGGGTTCTAGGTGTCTAACCCACATGCAGAAAACACTCAGGAGACAGAGAAAAAGTTCAACTGTTTATTTACAGAGTTTGACAGAAATGTGAAATGTGGGGGGTAAATACCTGCTCAGGGATGGATCTGATCAGCAGGAGGGGAACCTTGAGGGTCCAGAGGCTTGTCAGAGGGCAGAGGGCTGAGGTCAAAGGCAAAGGCTGACTGAGTGCAGGCAGGCAGATTCCAGACAGAGATATCTCTAGGATTTCAGATTTTCAGACAGGACTGGATCTGTAAGGCAGAGAGAAACTGGTCGGGCAGGTTCACACAAAAAACTGGGATAAAGATCAGGCAGGTTGGCTCAGGTCTTGCTGTACCATTACTGGCAACACTCTGGCAGGGAAGTGTCAGTCTCCTCCTCCTTAAGTAGGTCCTCTTAACGAGGAAACAGGTGTGTAGGTAAGCACATGCCATCAGGAGGAGATTGAGGGGCCCTCTGGTGGAGAAAGTGGACAAGCCTCCAGATCCCAACACTCCTACTCGTCGTCGTCGTCGGTTTTATTTTGGGATTGGGTCGTGGGGGCAGCAGTTTCAGCACTCCCAGACTTCCCTCTCCCAGACACCATCTCCAATACTGCTGGGGGAATTCTGAGGTGCTCAAAGACCAGCCAAGAAACATAGTCCCTTCAGGATGTCCTGTGTTGCCCCCTGGGCCCCCTCCCAGTAAGACATGCTTGGAAAAAGTCAGACATCCTGGAAACATCTAAAAAAGATGTCTTAGCCGCCCGGCTGACTCATTTTCGCAATATTTCCGGTCTTAAACCAGTACCATGACTACCCCAACGCATGTTGTAGGTCTTGGCAGGAGGGACACAACAGAACCAGGTCATCTCCAAAAAGCAGTGATGCGATCCCTGATCCCTGATTCCGCTCTGGTCCTTAGCTGCTCCTAGAAATCCTGTGCACAAATGTTCTAAACAGGACTGGTAACTGGAGGCAGCACTGGCAGAGTCCACAAGCACTGGGAGCTGGTCTGACTTGAGGGAGGCAATGCAGACCAAGCACCTGCTCCACTTGTACAGAGAACAGATGGCCCCTAGTAAAGGTCCCCTAACACAGTACTCCTGAAGTGCCCCCCTACAGGACACCATGAGGGACCCAGTTGAATGCCTTCTCCAGGTCCACTATCAAATCAAGTCAAAGTTTATATAGATTTATATATATTTATAGTAGGGATGGAGCGGTTTATGAAAACCGTCCAAACCGTTTGGTTCGACTGTCTCAGTTCGGTTCGTGTGTGTTGCGTTCGGTTCATGCGCTGCTCCTTTTTCTCTTAGGAGAAGCGTGTACACTCCAGAGCAGAAGGTGGCGGTACTGTGACCAAAGCCATGTATGGGACCACTTTGCATTCATGCTGCATTCATACCGGACGCGGATGCGAGTTTACATGCAAAGTCAATGGTTGACGCGCGTCAAGGGGCAGTAAAAGGTCCCGAAGCGCATCTGACCAACTGAAGCAGCACATCGGGAGCGTTTAAGCATTTGACGCGCGCGACACGCCGCAGACGCGCTGCTGCTCAAGATGGAAAAATTGAACTTTTGCTGCTTGACGTACCGCATCAACCAATCAGAGATGCTGATGTGGGAGCTGGCAGGGAGAGAGACACAGCGCTGATGATACGGAGCTCTATGATCACTCCTCCGAAACAGTTTATTAAGGCCTAAATTAACTTAAAATGCTGAAACCTGTCGACAAAGCATGTTCGCTTTTATTATCCTGGTACCTGCAGTTTGAATCATGTTCATGAAAACCACTTTCCAGCCACCGCGGCAAAACGCGAGGAGGCGACCGGGCCAGAGGCTGCTGTTGAATGGGATTCCTACTGACAGCGCACCGCTGGTATGTGGGGGTCTAAACGGCCCCGACAGAAATAATATTGGAAGGCAGGATGGTAATCTGGATGAACTGACTGCACTGATTAAGTTTTCAGATGGATTTTCTCACTTAGAAACATATTAAAACTACTTTATTCCCACAGCAAATATAGCTGCAAGGCAAAGAAAGGAGAGAGTAGCTCCCTCCAACGCACGTCTGACCCACTTTTCCACCGCGCAGCCAGAGCAGCAAAGCTGCTTCAGATGCGTGTCAGAACTGGTACAAGCAGCAAAAATGAAGCAGCAGACGTAATTTTGCTGCTCATGCTGCGTCCGGTGTGAACGCAGCTTAAGGTGACCTACGATGACGGTGAAAAGAAAGTTGTGGAAAAAAGTGCAACAGTGTGCAAGTGTTGTGCCACACAATTTGTTTATGCTAATAGCAACATGACCCAACATGTCCGGCTAACAATCAACATATACCGAACCGAAAACCGTGACCACAAAACCGTGAACCAAACCGTGGATTTTGTGAACCGTTCCACCCCTAATTTATAGTTTATAGATTTATGTATATTTATAGTTTCATATAAAGTTGATATTTATATAGTACTTTACAACAACACCAAGAAGACCAAAGTGCTTCACAGAAAGATAAAAACATTGCAAAAAAAAAAGCACATCTGGGCTGGTTTGGCAAACTCACTTTAACCCCCAGGCTCCCAGCAGAGATTTCCGAGCTAGTACACTGTTCCACGGCTAGGATGAAAGTCACACTGCTCCTCCTGAAGCCGGGGGTAAACCCTCAGCCGGACTCTCCTCTCTAGGACACTGGCATAGGCCTTAGCTAGGGTCCTGGCATAGCCCTTCCGGGGAGGCTAAGAAGAGAGATCTCCCTATAGTGGGAACATACCATCCAGTTCCCTTGCTTATGAAGGGGAATACTATTCCAGTCTGCCTATCCAGGGGACCCGGACCTCCACAAAATGTATAAGAGTTGTGTGAGCCAGGACAACCTGACAACATGCAGAGCTCAAAGTTACTCGGGGCAGATCTCATCCTCGCCCGAAGCTTTGCCACCATGGAATTTTTTGACCACCTCTGTGACTTAAGCCTGGAAGATGAACAAATCCATCCTGAGCATCTTTCTCTTCTTCCATCATGGAAGGCATGTTTGAGGATTAAGGAGATCCTCAAAGTATTCCTTCCACTTACCAACAATATCTTTCAGGGTCAGCAGCTCCCAACTCCTACTGAAACCAGAGTTAGCAAGCCATTGCTAACCTCTCCTGAGGTGCAAGACAGTTTGTCTGAAACATTTTGAGGCCAATTGAGTCTTCATCCATGGCCACCATGGCCAACAGAATAGGTTCTGTCCCATAGTGGGCCTGCAATGATTGATATGATTTAGTTTAATTTGGGAAAGATCCAGATGGAAAACCTAGAGAATATGGCTTCATTTCTAATTTTGTATGTGTTTTCTATAGTAAGAATAGCACTGGATGCAAGGATCCAATTTCTAAATGTAATCAGAGCTATGACTACACTATTATTGCTATAAGCGCCCAATCTGTAGATACATTTTCTTGGATAGATAGAAAACATTTCCATTTATCAGCAGAGCACTTGTTTGTGATGAGGAAATCCATCTCGCATATGCATAAGTGTTGGATTTGAAAATATGGAAAATTTTACAGCATCCACTGCAAGCCATCTGACTATTCCTGTCAAGCTCCAGTATCCATCATATTTCCAAACATGTGACAAAAATCTAAATTAAATATTTGTCAACCAATTGAAAACAACCAAGAGGTGATCAGATTTTGACTTCCAATGCTAGAAACAGTTGCGTTTGGAGGAATATCATGTTTTTTTAAAAATCAAATTTTATAAAACAATAATTCATGGAAGACTTCTAATAATAATATTGGAGAATAGTGGGAAGGACGAATAAAATATTGTAATTTCTCTGACAAAATGGGAGATTGACAGCTATGCTTATGTAGTTGCTTTTATCTGGTTCAACTTAGGATTCTGCTTGGTTTACCTCTTTCCATCAGTTTTTCTGGATCAAATATTAGATATCAGCGATTCTTGTTTCTGAGACTTTTGCATTCAGTTAGATTCATTTTTTATATTTTTATTATTTGTTCATATAAGGATTTTATCTGCATTTTGTTTAATTAAAGACATTTTTTTAATTCTTTATTTAGATTAAATGACTGCGGGTTGTCAGAGATCAGCTGTGCTTCTCTGGGCTTAGCTCTGAAGTCAAACCCCTCCCATCTGACAGAACTGGACCTGAGCAACAACGATCTGAAAGATTTTGGAATGAAGCAGCTCTTTGATTTTCTCCAGTCTCCCCTCTGCAAACTACAGACATTGAGGTCAGTCACCATGTTTTAGTTTAGTGCTGATATTTCTGATGGTAAAGTTGTGTTGACTCTAAACTGCAAACATATGGCTGATATTCTACTGATCCACACTGAGGATCTTCAGGCTAAAGTCTGATTTCTTCTTCACTGCTTTGATTCAGTTAAACTTTATTTCTTTCTCAAACTTCCTCCCATGATGTCTGCCTGTCTGATTAGAGCACACTAGCTAGAAGAAATTATTTCTGGGTCAACTTTGGCAAAATCTGTGTAATTCTTCATATTTGATGAGATCAGTGGTCTTCATACAAGCAGGGTTTATTAATCTTTGAGGAGAACAGATGCAGTTTTTTCCAGTGTTCTGACTGTTCTGGTCAGACAAAGGATTTAACTACCTAACACTCAAACAAACATCTGAGAGGGATTTACATGAAACTTTACCAAAACAAGGTTCCAACATTTTGGATCAATCAGAGGGATAGTGAATAACCTTGAACCTAAAGGAGTCTGGCTTCCTTTCTAAAACATCATCATCAGTCACCATGTTTTAGTTTAGTGCTGTTATTTCTGATGGTAAAGTTGTGTTGACTCTAAACTGCAGACATATGGCTGATATTCTACTGATCCACACTGAGGATCTTCAGGCTCAAGTCTGATTTCTTCTTCACTGCTTTGATCCAGTTAAAGTTTGTGCCTTTGTCAAACGTCCTCCCATTATGGCTGTCTGATTAGAGCACACTAGCCAGAAGAAAGTAGTTGTGGTTCAACTTTTCCAAAATCTGTTTAATCATTCATGCTTGCTTAATCAGTGGGAGAGGGGGAATGGTTTTACTGTTGCCATCCGTGACACAAAAAGCTGCCTTTGGCGCATTCTTATGGCTTCACAGGTCCCGACCATGAGGCGGTTCCTTATAGTGCTGCCTTAATCTATATGGAAAGATTGGAGCCACATTGGGGAAGGAGAGGGGGGAAAAAAAGCATATTTCACCCTTTATCCTTGACAGGATACAGTTGGAGATTTAAAAGAAACCTCAGCACAAGATAAGCACATGTAACACGAGACACATCTGAGGCTGGCATCACATGAAGTCAATCTGACCTTTGAGACAATAGTTGTGTGTGTATTATCCTTGATGAGATGGATGTTTATCAATAGTTGTGGGCACTCCACATATGTTCGCAGGTAGGGGAGGGGGATAGCAATTCTTCTGCGCCCTTTCGCCATAACATCCAGGGGAGAAGCCGAATCTAGAATAACACTTATTGTTTTGAGAGCAGGCTGCACAGGAATTTACGTCAGCCTTGAGTCTTTTGTTGCTGGGTCTATGTGGCGAGTCCACTCTTCCTAATTTTTTGGGCTTTTCCCCTTGAAGCGGGCGTGCACTTCCAAGATCTGTCACACTCCGGGCTGCATCTGGGTGCAGGCCAGGTTTTCCTTCTCTCTCCTCAGCAGGGGTGGACGGGCAGGTGCACTACATCTGAGCTAATCACCACCCTTCTTAAGGAGATGGAACCAGGAGGAGGGCGTCAGTTCGTTAACCCCACTGCGTTAGTACAGACCAAACCCAAACCTTGTCCTAGTGATTCTAAACCAGGGGTGGCGAACACGCGGCTCTCGAGCCGCATGCGGCTCTCGACCAATAAGAATGCGGCTCTTTGCCTGTTACCATATTTTCTATATACTGTGGCTCTTTCCTCGTTTCATGTTTCTTTTCTTCTTTTTTTAATATCTTAAACACACTTAAATCCATCAGGGGTTATTAAAAACAAATAATATTTTAAAATTAATAAATTAATTTGACAGATTGGGTGTTTTTTATGAGACGTAAGACATAAGAGACGTAAGTGACCGCCAATCATATGCGCGGATTACGTCTCATGCCGGGAAATTAGGTAAACATTTTATATGCATGCAGACCGCAGACTTACCTTCTTTGTAAAAATGGCAAAATGCAAAGCTAAACGAAAATATGAGGATGAACACAGGACATTTCTGGAAGAATGGGAAGATGCTTACTTTTTTATTGAACGGAATGGCAAATCGCTCTGTTTATTATGCGATACCACGATATCACATTACAAGGCTTCAAACCTTCAGCGTCATTTTAGCACACTCCATGCTAATATTGACAAGGATTTCCCCAAAGGTACTGAACTACGGAAGCAAAAATTGAGCACATTGAAAAGCCAGGTAAAAAGACAGTCTCAAATGTTTCAGCAATTGACCAAGCGTGGAGAAGCTGTGACACTTGCATCCTATAAAGTGGCATGGAATATTGCCCGTGCTAAAAAACCATACAACGAAGGCGAGTTTTTAAAACAGTGTTTTGTAGATGTAATTGACATTTTGGCTCCAGATAACAAACAACTCAAAGATTCCATCACTGGTCTCCAGATGTCACGACACACAGTTGAAACCAGAATATCAGACATAAATAATGCGCTTGAATCTGATCTACATGCAGACCTGAACGCATGTGCTTATTTTAGTGTAGCATTAGACGAGTCATGCGACATACAGGACAAGCCACAGTTGGCAATATTTGTACGAATGAGTGTCAGCCCACCATAATCCTCCAGCAACTGTTTCCACACATTCACCAGTCTCATCTTCTCTGCAGAAGCCCAGAAGAACCTGACCAGACCATACAGCTTCCAGTTCATATCCACTATCTTGTTTTTCAATAAACTTCTTAGTTTTCTCACCCCTCGTGGGGTGGTATGTGTCATCCTCAAGCTCGGGTCCTCTACCAGAGGCCTGGGAGTTTGAGGGTTCTGCGCAGTATCTTAGCTGTTACTAGGACTGCGCTCTTCTGGACAGAGACCTCTGATGTTTTACCTGGAATCTGCTGTAGCCACTCTCCCAGTTTGGGGGTCACAGTCCCCAGTGCTCCAATTACCACTGGCACCACTGCTGCTCTCACTTTCCACATCTTTTCTAGCTCCTCCTTCAGCCCTTGGTATTTCTCAAGCTTCTCGTGTTCTTTCTTCTTGATGTTGCTGTCGCTTGGGATTGCCACATCTATCACTACTGCCTTCTTCTGCTGTTTGTCGATCAACACGATGTCTGGTTGGTTTGCCATCACCTGTTTGTCAGTCTGGATCTTGAAGTCCCATAGGATCTTACCTTGGTCATTCTCAACTACCTTAGGAGGACTCTTCCATTTTGACCTTGGGACTTCCAGCCCATACTCATGGCAGATGTTCCTGTACACTATGACAGCTACCTGGTTATGGCGTTCTATGTATGCACTTCCTACCATTTTACACCCTGCTGTTATGTGCCTTATTGTTTCAGAAGTATCTTTGCTACATCGTCAGACATCTCAGTTTTCCCCCAGCTCTCAGGCTGTTTTATAGTCTCAATGCACATGCACAATGGAATATCATGTCGAAATCTTACTGGAATTCACATGTGCTGGTCGAAGCCAGAGGTTACTCTGACACTGGAAAGAATGTTTATAAAGACGTTCTCTGTTTATCCCAAAACCTCTTAATACATCTCCTAATTGCGTAAGAATCAGCCATTAGAAACCTTGTTATTGCCAAGATTCATACTTGACCTTCAGCCTGTACTGCTAGGATTATAAGGCCATGAATAAGGATATATAAAGCAGTACAGCTGCTTCTATATTTGGTGAGCCAGCCAGAATATTCGACACCAGCAGCTTTGGACTCAAACTTCTGTTAGTTTAACGTCTCTTCCTGATCACCTCTCCTTGATCCAGAGCTGTTTAGAAAACACAGTTTAGTTAAAGTCCATTTGAATCCCAGCAGAACCACTGAAGGTCTGACTGAAATCTTCTAGCAACACGTGTTGTTTGTCACCAAGGATCTTAAAGCTGTAAAGATCAGGAAGGCCTCAGGGTCAGATTCCCATCAGATTCCCAGTTTAGTGAAGACAGCCAACAGGATCATGGGGACCCTGATCCCATCTAAGGTACCAGATCTGTTTGGACGGGTCATCATTAAACAGGCTACCAACATTCATTTGGAGACAGAACATGAGCTGTCCTGTGATTGATTGAAGTCAGGGAGAAGATCCAGGGTTCCTTCATGGAAACACAATCGTATTAAACATTCATTTATTCCTCCTTCAATTCAATTAGGAAGCGAGCGGTCGGCAGGAGATGAACAGAAGCCAAAATAAATGCTGGGATGAGTTTGAAGACTTTTCCTCTGAACTTTTTCTCATCTATTTCTTCCTGCAGTTGATGCTGCTTGTGTTGTTCTGGTTCTGGATTGTGTTGCAGCTCTGCTCTTTGTCTAACACAGATTTCTCCTGGAGGAGACTAATAAACACACCTTGATCTGGACCTTCACACGTCATTAGAACATGTTCTGCTTCTGCTTGGTTTAATACTTTAACTTGATTATTTTTATGGGACTTTAGCTTTCAGTCAAATATTATTATTCATTATTTATTCATTATTTTAGTTTTAACCTGTCTCTCCAGTTGCTTCAACACGTCTTTTATTCTTTATTCAGATTGAATAGCTGCAGTTTGTCAGAGATCAGCTGTGCTTCTCTGGTCTCAGCTCTGAAGAACAACCCCTCCCATCTGACAGAACTGGAACTGATGTGGAACAAAGACCTGAAAGATGATGGAGTGAAGCAGCTCTGTGGTTTTCTCCAGTCTCCCCTCTGCAAACTACAGACATTGAGGTCAGTCACCATGTTTTAGTTTAGTGCTGATATTTCTGATGGTAAAGTTGTGTTGACTCTAAACTGCAGACATGTGGCTGATATTCTACTGATCCACACTGAGGATCTTCAGGCTAAAGTCTGATTTCTTCTTCACTGCTTTGATCCAGTTAAAGTTTATTTCTTTTTCAAACTTCCTCCCATGATGTCTGTCTGTCTGATTAGAGCACATTAGCTAGAAGAAAGTAGTTCTGGATCAACTTTGTTAAAATCTGTTTAATCCTTCATGGTTGATGAGATCAGTATTCTTCATTCAAGCAGCATTTATTCATCCTTGAGGAGGACAGATGCAGTTTTTTCCAATGTTCTTTCTGTTCTGGTCAGACAAAGTATTTCACTACTTAACACTAAAACAAACATCTGGGAGGGATTTCCATGAAACTTTAGCAAAACAAGGTTCAGCCAGTTTGGACCAATCAGAGGGAGGATGAATAACCTTGAACCTAAAGGAGTCTGGCTTCCTTTCCAGAACATGTGACCCTGAAAGCAGCTTCTCATTGGTCAGTAAGATCAGCCTTTAGGCCTAGCCTTGTCTAGCAGGTGTGCAGCTGAGCGAATGCTTTGGTGAAAATAGAAACAGAACGAGCTCACATTCAGCTTTAGAATGAAGGAAAAGAGGAATAGATGGAAAAATAATTTTCCCTCCATAATCCACCTCTTTGACCATAAAGGGAACCTGTTACTTGTTTGGTCAATAAAAACAAAAGGGAAAAAATCATGAATATATGTAAAGTTAAAAACTGTAAATAAAATAACTAAGGTAGTTTACTACCAGTCATCTCAGTAAAAGACTAAATAAAATGCATGGCTGCAATCAAGCCAGTGGAAATGCTTCTAAATGTTTCTATGAAACAATAAATGATTGAACCACTAAACAATAAATCAATTCTCAGATATATGATGAATACATCTGGCTTCAAGGATAAATGATTAAAACACTAAATTCAACATAAATGTTTAAGGCCCAGCAATAGCTGAGGTGGGTTAGCAATGGATAAATCATCATCAATTCATGGTTAGAATGATTATTGAATGACTCGTGTCATTTAACTTGTCAATGAATTAAAAAATCAAATCAAAGAAATGTTTTCCAGGTTCTTCAGTCCCTGTGTGTGTTTCACCTTCAGAAGAAACATTACTGAGGAAAAAAACTACATTTAACATCAGAACAGTTATTTCAGTGACATAGATATAGAAATCAAACTCATTATTGGTGCCTGCCATTGCAATGCAAGGAGCATAGAATGCTATTGTTTTGCAATGGCATTCTATGCTCATACAATGCATGGAGGCACTTATTATTGTAGCCAAAAAACAAACTCTATATCGGCATAGTTAATATTACTTTTATAAGTGATTGTTGTTACCATAGCAACGTAATAACTAGTATAGTTTTCTTTCAGCAGTCACTTGATTGGTTTTTTTTTCGGCATCTAAACTGTAATCTTTCACATGAAACCCTATGTAATCTACTGAGACAAGCAGGTTTGAAAAACCTTTTTATGTCTTGTTCCCATTATGGTTATGAATGACCCACAGCAATAAGATGAACCCTAACTGAAGAAAAAGGATAGCTGTCACTCTGACTGGAAGAATTTTTAAGATACCATTTACGGTGGGGTGTGCTGGTCACGTAGTTAGCGTGCAAGACCCATCTACGGAGGCCTTATTCCTCGACATGGCCGACCCGGGTTCATATCCGACATGTGGTTCTTTGTAGCATGTCTCTCCCCCTCTCTCATACCCCCTTTCCTGTCCGCCTGCTGTCGAAACAAACAAGCCACTGTGGATATGTTTGAAGACTTTTCCTCTAAAGTTTTCTCATCTTTTCAACACATCTTTTATTCTTTATTCAGATTGAATTACTGCAGTGTGTCAGAGATCAGCTGTGCTTCTCTGGTCTCAGCTCTGAAGTCCAACCCCTCCCATCTCACAGAACTGAACCTGAGCAACAACTATGACCTGAAAGATGGTGGAGTGAAGCAGCTCTGTGGTTTTCTCCAGTCTCCCCTCTGCAAACTACAGATATTGAGGTCAGTCTCCATGTTTTAGTTTAGTGCTGATATTTCTGATGGTAAAGTTGTGTTGACTCTAAACTGCAGACATATGGCTGATATTCTACTGATCCACACTGAGGATCTTCAGGCTAAAGTCTGATTTCTTCTTCCCTGCTTTGATCCAGTTAAAGTTTATTTCTTTTTCAAACTTCCTCTCATGATTTATTCAATAATAAGCAGGAAACATGAAACAATGAGTTGAATTTCAGTGTGGGGTTGCAGCATTATCCAGAACTTCCCAGAATCCAGTGAATTTAGAGCTGATAATGCAGGAAATTCCCACTCCCATTCCCAGCAACATTATTTAGTGATGTTGAGCCAACATGGGCAGCAGTGTGGAACGCAGGAAAAAGAAAAAAATGCTGATAAAGAGGAAGATAGAAGAAATAAAAAACCCTGATGTGTCATTTAGTTTAATCCATGGATGTACACTATATTGCCAAAAGTATTTGCTCACCTGCCTTGACTCACATATGAGCTTAAGTGACATCCCGTTCCTAATCCATAGGGTTCAATATGACGTCGGTCCACCCTTTGCAGCTAGAACAGCTTCAACTCTTCTGGGAAGGCTGTCCACAAGGTTTAGGAGTGTGTTTATGGGAATTTTTGACCATTCTTCCAGAAGCGCATTTGTGAGGTCGCACACTGATGTTGGACGAGAAGGCCTGGCTCTCAGTCTCCGCTCTAATTCATCCCAAAGGTGTTCTATCGGGTTGAGGTCAGGACTCTGTGCAGGCCAGTCAAGTTCATCCACACCAGACTCTGTCATCCATGTCTTTATGGACCTTGCTTTGTGCACTGGTGCACAGTCATGTTGGAAGAGGAAGGGGCCAGCTCCAAACTGTTCCCACAAAGTTGGGAGCATGGAATTGTCCAAAATGTCTTGGTATGCTGAAGCATTCAGAGTTCCTTTCACTGGAACTAAGGGGCCAAGCCCAGCTCCTGAAAAACAACCCCACACCATAATCCCCCCTCCACCAAACTTTACACTTGGCACAATGCAGTCAGACAAGTACCGTTCTCCTGGCAACCGCCAAACCCAGACCCGTCCATCAGATTGCCAGATGGAGAAGCGCGATTCGTCACTCCAGAGAACGCGTCTCCACTGCTCTAGAGTCCAGTGGCGGCGTGCTTTACACCACCGCATCCGACGCTTTGCATTGCCCTTGGTGATGTATGGCTTGGATGCAGCTGCTCGACCATGGAAACCCATTCCATGAAGCTCTCTGCGCACTGTTCTTGAGCTAATCTGAAGGCCACATGAAGTTTGGAGGTCTGTAGTGATTGACTCTGCAGAAAGTTGGCGACCTCTTCGCACTATGCGCGTCAGCATCCGCTGACCCCGCTCCGTCAGTTTACGTGGCCTACCTCTTCGTGGCTGAGTTGCTGTCGTTCCCAAACACTTCCATTTTCTTATAATACAGCTGACAGTTGACTGTGGAATATTTAGGAGCGAGGAAATTTCACGACTGGATTTGTTGCACAGGTGGCATCCTATCACAGTTCCACGCTGGAATTCACTGAGCTCCTGAGAGCGACCCATTCTTTCACAAATGTTTGTAAAAACAGTCTGCATGCCTAGGTGCTTGAATTTATACACCTGTGGCCATGGAAGTGATTGGAACACCTGATTCCAATAATTTGGATGGGTGAGCAAATACTTTTGGCAATATAGTGTATTTCTGAGCTGAACTCACATTTCTGAGAACTTTGAACTGAACGATGCAGTTTTTGAAGTGAGGAACATCAAGTGAACGAAGCTCATCGTGACGTCATTTAATGTTGTTCTGTTTAAGGTGAACTAAAGATTGTCCCGTTTTTTGGGGGGTAAACTTTAGTAAATTTCCTAGAGAAAGAGCAGCAGCATTTCTCCTTAGGCGCTCAGGTTCTGCTGTCGCTGCCATCGGGCAGCAGAGACCTAGTTCTGCTCTGTGAGAAACTCCATCAGTCATTTAGGCCTTTAAACGTGACTCTGCCGTCTTCAGCTTTGCTTTCTATGTCAGGACATGAACTGAAGGCTCCAACCTTAAAGCTCTCAGGTTCCTCTGAGGGATTTCTTCTTGGTTTGTGGACGGAGATGCAGCCCAGAGAACCATGAAGTAACATTGATCAGCTGGCTCATTTAAAGACACAATGACATTCATGCTGTGCTTTGATGGACCATTTCTGCTTGGATGGAGGCTTGAAGAGGCCTGAACATGAGGTGGAGCCTTGGACACAAACTTTGAGCTGCAGCTGGGATCTAGAAAGGAAAACTGCTTGGTTTTGTTCACAGAGTTTTAGAAATCAGGATTTTTTTGTCCTGCTCCATTTTCAGGCGTTTGCCGTCCGTAAACTTTTAGTCTGGACCCTACCAATGTTTTCTAAATGAGACCCAGGACTGGGAACCACTGGGCTGTTGGATCATCCAGACACTGATTACTGAAGGACATCATTACCTGTTTATGTTTGGACTTTATTTCAGTACATGAAGATAAATAAAGAAGAACTAGTTCCAGTAGGAGCTGTGAACTGAGTTCAGAATATTTAGGTAGAGAACTATTGTTAGGTTTAAACACCAAACACCTTATTCAACCTGCACAAAAGAAAGACACAGAGAATTTAGTATAATTTACTTGCAAGGAGAGGGGGTCAGAAACTGCATTCAGTTACAAACTCCAACCCACTCTGAAGCAGTTTCCGCTCTCTCCAAGCTTTTTATTAAGGAACTCCCTGGCTACAAATGTGGTTCCGACTGCTAAAAGGGAGGGGGGGTGAAACCAGTCGGAACCAGAAGTTCTGTATAACATCATACAACATCATAAGATAAGGAGAGCCTCCACTCCTTATCCGGTGCTAGTGTGTACAGTTCTCCGTGTTCTCTCCTTGACCCCGACTGGCCTTCCTGGACACACTAATAGCAAGCATTAGTAACACAGCAAGTAAAACATTTCAACACTCTGTGTAATACAAGTAAACAGGAATATGCAAATGTGTAAGTATGAATGTATAAGTATAATATGATTAAAGTAATATGATTAAAGTAAAATAACTTGTTCAATTAATCCAACATTTCCCTCCTGTTTATTCACTTTAAGCTATTTATTTTATCATTCAGTAGTTACTTCTTTTCAGATTTTCAACTAAGAAATCATTTTTAGCTATAAAGGGTACACTCAGAGGTACTTTAAACTGATGGGTTATTGTTAATGTCATTGGAATTAGGATAAAAGTCAGGAAAATGTAAAGAGATTTCATCCTCTTCACTGTCTTCATCATCAGATGGGTATTTTTCAGTGGGCATGAGGGCATACATTTCTGCTTTCATGGGTTGTATTGCTGTGGTAATTAGTCTATTTAGCAGCGCTCTAATACATGGAATACAACAACATCCACATAAGGTCAAGATGGTGGCAAATACAGCTATAGACATTAAAATAGAAAGCACCAATTGTTTGTATTTACCAAAAATGTCTCCAAATCCATCCCACATTTTTGTGTCAACTCCAGAATGGTCTTTTATTTTGCTGTTAAGAGAGCGAAGGCCTTCAAGGGCCTTTGTGAGGCTGCCATCAGCAGCGGTGTTGTTGGGAATAAAGGTGCAACACTGATCTCCAAAAATGGAGCACACACCACCCTTTTCAGCTAACAACATGTCAACAGCAATACGGTTCTGGAAAGCCATCAGAGAGGTAGCTGACAATTGTTCATGGACTGCGGAGAAGCCTTGTTCTGTTCTATTTCCCAGCCTCTGGACGTTATAATGGATGTAGTTGATCCTGTCTACATTTTTATTTATAGTACACCACCAGCATAAGAAAGATTCAAATCCTGCAGAAACTTGATTGGCTAGTTTATACTCATCAGGAACACCTCTGGGTACACCAATGCTATCAATATAAGTAGGGTCATCTCCACTCCATGCATTTTCAGATGCCCTCCTCCTTCTAGTATGCTCTGTGTGAGGTAAAATGCTGTTTGCAGTCGTTAACAATTCATCTGTTGTGAGTGATGTAACAGAAACAGGTAAAATCAAAGTGACCACAGCACACAATCCAGTGGTGTTGCATGGAAGTCTGTCAAACAATTTGTCATCTCCACACCACCACCAGATGTCGCTGCGGGATTGAGGTTTAAAAAAAATGGATACCAGTAAAATGCTTGCACATTGTGTTTCATTTAGTGTGCCTAGTTTCGGGCCCATTCCGGTCCTGTTTACACAGGTGAAATTTGCCACAGCTACTTTTTTCAAAAAGATTTTTTATTTTTTTTCTCAGCTGTGGTCAGGGGATAGATCTTATCCCAATAGGTGCAATTATCAGTTGGGACCGTATAATTCATTATATTTAGAAGACATTGAGGAGTTATGGTAGCAGGAACCACACGTAACAGCGGTCTGGCTCCCATACACACAAGACAATCATTAGACACTGTTTTAGCTGCTTGTTCTGCCATTAAAAGCTAGTTGTTTGTTTGCCCAGAGATTCCAGTGGTGACTTGAAACAATTCATCTGTTTTAAGCGGAACATTAATATTTTGAATTTTTATCTGTTCACCTTGGGCAGAAGTAAGAACAAATACAATGTCCAACATGGATCGGTTTCACTAGACCGTGCACATAGAAATGAGGAAGAACAGCCTTCCTTCTCAAGGGGTTCTGCTGTGGAGTTTATTGTCATAGTGAAAACTTTGGAGGCATGGTTAACAGTGAACCCTGATATTCTACTCATCCATTTCTTAGCTAAATGTGTCCATCCATATGATCCCTTTTTCCACTGTCCAGTGGTTCTAAATACGTCTCCCCAACCATTATGAGTTCTTTGAACTACGCGAGGAAATAGGTAGAAATCATAACCGCGCCAATTTCCCGGGTCATGTTTAAATCTTTGCGAGAATGTTTGAAAAGGAATAGTCACCAAACTGATTACTCTAGTAGAGTTATAGCAGAGATAGACGTCCCTTTTACAAATAGCTGGATCTTGAGGGCAACAAGAATC